GCTGAACGGCAGCAGCAAGTGGAGGCAGGCAGGGGAAGGCTTCCCTAACCCTTTGAACAGCCCTTCACTCCCATTGCTGCTTTTTCAGTCCCGGATCTCAGTTTGTCCAGAGCCTGTGCAGAGGGTCTTTGGAAACAAAGCCCCGCAGCGATCAGTGGGATGGGAACTATTCCCCTCGCTTTTGGACCGGCTCCAAAATGGGCTGGAAAGAGCGGCCCGAGGACTTCAATCTGGCTTTACAACAAGCAAGGAGATTGGAAGCACATGAATGCATGCTAGTCTGGCGTCTCAAAAAAGCAGTCTCCTCCCCCTCCCCCGCTCCTGGATTTTTGCTACCATACTGTTTAACTTTCTTTAAAGTTTGCCCATTTTGCATCAAGTAAATTTTAAAGAAAGTTAAACAGTATGGCAGCGAAAATCTAGTACGGGGGGGGGGAACCCCGTTTTTTTGAGACTCCAGATTAGTGTGCATTCAGGTGGTTCTTGAGATTCCAAATCATCATACTTGTGGCTGCATGCTTCACGGCTGAGTGTAATGTTCATCTCTTGGAATTCAGTGCTTCATTTTCTCCAGATATATTTCTCATTAATGCTAAAAAAAAATTGATTTTCCTGTCACAGAATACTGTTTCTACTGCATCGTCCAAGTGACAATTGTCAAATCTAAGACAGGTAGTAATGTATGTTCTGGAAAGGAGTGGTTTCCTCCTAGGTATATTTCCATGCATACTACTTTTGTTTCATTTTCCCCTTTGGTAGACTGATGAGCACTGACATCAGAATGTATGAGCGGCGTATAGATTTTTGTTGGTACTAAGGAGTTCTTTGCAGCTTCCTTGATCATCATATTGAGATTATTTTTGTTGGGTTATAATTCTGGGAAGAATTTATGGTGATATTTCATTTCTCTATTTCTAACAATATCTGTAGAGACACAGATAATGAAAACAGACATTGAAAACCAAGGAAAATCTTTGAATTCAGAAGGCGGTTCCAACCTCAAATTGATACGCTAAATCAGGCATGTCAAACTGCCAGCCTGTAGGCCGTATGTGTCACGCCAAAACCACGCCCATCCCATTGCTGGCAATGGGAAAAAAGTTGCGATATGTCGCCCGACGTCCTGTGATGTCGCAAGTTTGACATGCCTGTGCTAAAGAAAGTTAATGGATAAATAGTAACCAATTCACAGTAGAACAGATTAAGATGGAAGGCGTATATTGAAGATTGCACAATAAAGATGTCAATATCCAAGAATATTGGATATCTTAGAAGATATTGCTTACCTACAAGAAACTCTAGTATTAAAAGATAAAGTTAATCAGAACAATGGTCATTACCAAGTTGGAAAGGTGCTGATGGAATTACCCATAGAAATAAGCAAGCAACAGGAGAATTAGTGAAAGTTCTAACTAAGCTATGTCAGCAAATTTTGGGAATGATACAGTGGCCCACTGATTAGAAGAAGTCATTCTACATTTCAGTACCAAAAAATGGGAGACTAAAGTGGGTGTGCAAATTATTGTATAATGTCCTTAATTTCACATGCTGGCAAAGTAATGCTTACGATCATCCAGTGTAGATTAGAATTTTACATGAAAAAAAAATGGCAGATGTTCAAGCTGGCTTTAGACAAGACCAAAGAACATGAGACATTATAGCTGATACATGCCGGATAATTTAGACTGCCAAAGAGTATCCCCCAAAAATCCATATGTGCTTCATTAATTGTAGGAAGGCTTTTAGTTGTATTGATCACATCAAACTGTGGAATATACTTAGAAAAAAACATCTCATTGTCCTCATATACAGGTCAGAAAGCCACTGTATGGACAGAACATGGTGAAAATCTGTCTCTAGGTTGGAAAAGGAGCAAAACAAATGTACATTCCTCCCCCCTCTTTTTTTATCTTACCTGCTGAATATATATAATATATATATAAGAAGCTGGACTGGAAGAATATTAATGTGGTTTTAAAATTGGAGGAAGAAACTGGAAGAACATGAACATGGTTTTAAAATTGGAGGAAGAAACATGAATAATCTGCTTATTATTATGCTGACGACACTACACCAATAGCTGAAAATGCATAGGACCTGCAAGCTCTAATACAGGGGTCACCAACCCTTGGTCCATGGACCAGTACTGGGCCGCGGCATGCCAGCAACCGGGCCGCACAAACAAGCAAAACCCTATCTGAGAGATGCAGGCAGCACACAAAATCACGCATTGCGGTCCGCGAAAAAACCTCTCTCCATGGAACAGGTCCCTGGTGCCCAAAAGATTGGGAACCTCTGTTCTAATAGATCTCACAGAGCACAGACAGCATGTAGAACAACCAGCCTTAGAATTGATAATGAAAATATTGAAGAGACGGATAACTTTGGTCTTTTAAGATTAACCATCAATAATAAAGGAACAAATAGTCAAGTCAATTATCATGAATAGCAATAGCACTTAAATAGCACTTGTATACCTCTTCACAATGCTTTACTGTGCCCTCTCTAAGCAGTTTACAGAGTCAGTATATTGTCCCCAACAATCTGGGTCTTCATTTTACCAACCTTGGAAGGATGGAAGGCTGAGTCAATCTTGAGCCCCATCAGATCAAACTCCTGGTAGTGGGCAGTGTTACCCTGTAATATATATTCTAACTATTGTGCCACTATGGCTCATCATGAACGCCTGGAGAAGTTATTCAGATGCCATGATGTGATTGTGCTTACAAATATCAGAAACGTGCAAGCCATAATATTGCCTGTGATATTTTATAGGAAAAAAAATGGATCTTGAAGAAGCAGGGTTAAAAGAGTATTGATGCTTTTGAACTTTGATATTGGAGAAGACTCCTGAGAATGGCCAGTGAAGAAAATAAAAAGATGATTCAAACAAATCAACCAAGAGTTCTCACTCAAGGCACAATTAATCAGACTAAAATTATCCATATAATAAATTATGTGAGGACCTAGCTCTCTAGAGAAAGCTCTAATGCTGGGAAGCATGGAATGAAAGGGAAGAAGAGGATGTCTACAATAAAGGTGAAGAAATTTAATTACAGTGGTGATGGATGGGAGACCTGAAGGATGAGATTAGGGACAGGTGTCATGGGAAAAAAAATTGTTTATATGTGTGCTAATAGTTGACACGAAGGTGAGAGCACATAATCAGTAGTGTTTGGCAGTTAAATTGATGCATTCCCAGTCATTTGGAATATATGGGAAATCTTTATAAGAAGGTCAGATGAGGATTTGATTCACTTCCATGATTCTGTTTTATGAAAAACAGATGTTGGTGGTTGTAACTCATTTGTCATTTCATTGATTGGAGTACCTGATTCAATGAACCCTTAAGAAGGCTCCAAAGACAATATGTTCAATAAAAATATGACCCAATATACTGTTTTATACACAACTTGTTTAATTAGCATTTAGTTGAAGCTTTGGTCAGATTATAGGGTACAGTGTTGCAGGTCTATGGATATTTCTAAAAGGTTTTCAGGCTGTATGCTTACAGCTATAAGTTGTTAACATCCTAGAGTGACTTGACAGACAACTGGGAAAAATGAATCCCTTTTTTCTCTTACCTAGATCTTTGTAATATATTCTAGATTATAATTTTCATCAAAATTAAATCCTGGATAATAGATACTTTACTCGGAAGCTGTCCTGAGGTTAAGCAAGTTATTTTTACTTTCAAAGATCCATCTTTAAATATTCAGAATAAAGTTTAATTTGTTTCCATAACTGAGGGCAGCACACTACTTTGGCCCTGAAGCCTACATACAATAAACAGGATTGTACTATATTGTGCAAGTGAGAGGGCCAAAGGTCTTCCTTTTTTTTTCTCCTTACTTTTTGAGGTAGATGTTCAAATTATGTTTAATACTTCACTCACATTCTACACAGTGTAAAACAACTAGTAATGCTTAAACTGGCAATTGATCCTGTGTACTTTGTCATTGGATTTCAGCAGTGTCAGTTGAGGGTTCTTCAATCTGTATGTTGTTACCTGCCTTGCATTGGAACTTTTAACATCATTGCTAATACTGACAGTATAGTCTACTTAAAATTGGTGTATGTTTCATTTTGCCTATCAAAATGTATATAGAAGTTTCTGCTTCTATATTAAGGTTATTTGAGGTTTGCATCTTATAATGTGCATTCTCCATTCCTCTGAGTTGAAGACTCTCTTTTGTAAAATACTTCAGCATGGCAGGAAGTTGCCTCTGCCTGACGGGCATCTACAGAGTTTGAGCTGCTTGGAAAAAAGTAACATATAGAACTGTAGTTGTATTTTGAAGAGACTACAATGCAAACGTAGAAATTATACTAAAATAGGCTTTCTTTAAGGAGTAGATGTTTATGTGGAAGATTCTGCTGCTGAAATCCATCAGGAAAAGCTACTTCAGTCACTGTTTTCAAGGTCCTATGCTTATTTTATTGCTTATTGAATATTGGCCATATTCAAAAATTTATGGCTAAAGTACAATCTGCATTTATCAGGACAGGATTCATATCTGTTCACTGGAATTCTTGGTGCAATATCAACATAGACTAGAAAGAAATGCTGTTATCATTTGAAAGGATTTCTTCAAAAGAATATTCAACTGCTTTAGGAACAGTTGCCCTATATTTTCTAACAAATAAGGCAATTTAGTTTTATTCTGTTTTTAACAGAACAATCTCATAAAAGGGTGTATAAACCAAAATCTACTATACATTCATAGATGAAAAATAATAATTGTTTATTGGGTATAATCAAACCATTAAAATTATACCATAGTATTAACTTTAAGTGAAAGCTGAGGGTTTTTATAACATATATAAAACATATATATATGTTAGTAAGATAAATTTTAGCATCTGTCATTTTAAATGTTTTACTTTTTAAATATATTTCTGGTTATTCTTTTGATAAGTGTATAATGTATAATCCATTATTTTGAAGTAACATTCTTATTTATCTGATTAAGGTTATATGTGATACTGTTATTTTACAGAGGCGAATGCCACTAACGTTCCGTGATCCAGCAGCTGCTCCTTTAAGGAAACTGTCTGTGGATTTGATCAAAACATACAAACATATTAATGAGGTAAAATCTGCATAATTCATTGAGTTAACTTCTTTTGATATAAGTTTGTTTATTGTGACTAGAATGCATTTACTAATACTAAAACGCAAGCTAACTCTATAGACTTAATCTATTATTGTAATGCATTTCTTTGGACATTCAAATGTTTAATAGAAAGAAAACATTTTCTAAATTTATATTAATACATACTGCTGAGTGGAAATAAGAATACTTACCACTTGAATAGCATTTTAGAAGAGGAAAAAGCTGCTTAGAACAGTATTTAAAATCTATTTTCCTTCCTTCCTTCCTTCCTTCCTTCCTTCCTTTTTGCATATATTTATTTTTATATTGTATGAATGGCTACTGTCTGCTCTTTTTATCCTTTTCTTCTAATTTTGCATTATTAAAAATTATTTTTCTGCTTTGAAATTATTCTTACTGTTGCAAATGTTATAGACAAAAGTACTTATCTGTTAAAAAAAGAAAAGCTACTGTTTTTTCTATAAATGAAAAGTGGGAGATGTAATAAAATACTAAGGTTGATTTATCCACTTCACTTGAATGGCAGATGTCCATCCCTATAGCAATGCTTTCTTTCATAGAATATAGCCAATATTCTTATTTGCAAGGCTTTGCAACCCTGGATGTTAGTGATTTCCTTTCTTTTCTCCAAGCCAGGTAGAAAGCAGAAAAATGTTTCTTGCTTGTGTCTAGATTCCAGCCATCACAAAGCTGCTAAATATTTATTGCCTAAAACTGTTCTAGTCTTCCCCTTCTCTTTGCCATTAAAGAATGCCCTTTGTCTAAATGCCAATTGATCAATAATGTAAAAACCAGGACTCTTGTTTATGCACTGCTTAAAAGTTCAGTATTACTACATAAATAACAGACTCTAAAAATGATCTGTTATCCACTCAAGCCCTAACAATAGATAAAGAGAATTCAGTGAAACAAATGAGTCAAAAGACATTGTACTTGTTCATTAGTTTCTTGAGGGAAATTATCCAAAGCTACTTTTAGCACAGAGTAGAGCAATGTTCTTAGTAATAAAATAGAGGATTAATATCATATAAGTTGAACTATGCATGCATGTGTTTCTTTTGCACCTTTTAAAATTATGTCTGTTTTTGGAAGTTTTGTGCTTCAAACTTCTTTAATTTACTGAACTTGTATCTGGCTGTTATGTTTCAGCAGCTCCAGATTTGCTTTCAGAGCAGTTGGTCAGAGGCTAGTGAGATAATATCCATACTCTTGCCTAGGTCCTTTTTAACTGAATAAATTATGCTGTAAAATAAAAATGTAACAATCTAATAATTAATATCACCATTATCACCATTTTATTTTTAATCACCATTTTATCATTTTATTACCAATTAAATTATCACCATTTCAATCTCTTTTGCAATAGTGTATGATACAAACTGGCTATGCAATAATTGTATTTCCTAATCTCAGGTTTACTATGCAAAAAAGAAGCGACGACATCAACAGGGACAAGGAGATGATTCTAGTCACAAAAAAGAGCGAAAGGTTTATAATGATGGATACGATGATGATAACTATGACTACATTGTGAAAAATGGGGAAAAATGGATGGATCGTTATGAAATTGATTCTTTAATAGGCAAAGGCTCATTTGGACAGGTAATGATTGATTAATTTGAATAAAAGCAACTTAGAGCAGTATCGTATCCAATTCATATATGGATGATCTTTGATACACTCATCACAATCCTAGTGATGGAATAGGCCCCCAAGGCCTCCCCGACCACTAAGATACTTCATGCTTCCCCTCCCTTCATGCCACACTGGATTCACCTTGAAAAGATCCGTTTCCTTTCTGCCATGGGTCCCGCTGCCGTCCAGATCTGAGGCTGGGGAACACTTCCATGGCCCTCAGGAGGCTGGATTGGGGCATTGGAGGCCTTTTCTAGGCCGATGCCACCCGGAAATGAGGCCAGGGGATGTTTCTGTGGCCCTCTGGGTGCCGGAAGCCTTTTCCAGGCCAACGTCACCCAGATCTGAGGCCAGGGGACACTTCTGTGCCCTCGGGATGCCCGATCTGGGCACCAGAGGCCTTTTCCAGGCCACTGCCACCTGGATCTGAGACTGGGTGAAGCTTCTGCAGCCCTCCGGAGGCTTTCCAACATCCAGATTGGGCTTCCGGAGGGCCACAGAATGTTCATGAAATGTATTTTTAATTTTTATTTAGAAATGGAAATCATTTTACAAAGAAATTTTATCATTTAAAATTGTTAGCTTGAAATATAAATTCCACCAGTACTATGTTGTAGTAACTGTAAGAATACAGTTTTTATTGTTTTTACAAATCATTTTTTATGTTTTATTTTTCCAGGTGGTTTTTAATTTGGATTGCTTGAATAATGTAACTCTGCAATAATGAGCTTACCTTGGTTTCTCTTCCTTTACCTTCGCAATATTTAAATTGAGCTAATTGTCAAATAAAGATATTATTTAGTATTACAAGAGAACTATTTTCATAGTGTTTCCTACTTTAGTTTTATTCTTGTATCTCCAAAACACTGTGAAACATGCTCCAGAAAATTCATCTGTCTTCTGGAATGAATTTGGATGTGTGGAAGCCACAGCTACTGTAAAGCAGGAATATATTTCACTTTCACTGGCAGACAGACATTGGTGTAACATGTGGTTAAAACTGAAAAGCCTTATTCAATCAACAGGAATAAGGAATATTACCACAATTACCTTTGTTATAAGTTAGCTTAAACTTCATTACTTGAGTTTCTTATTCAGATTACATTAAAAAGTTTCTAAACCATCCAAATAGAGCCACTCAGAAAGGTATTAAAGAGGTTCTGTTGTTTATAGAAGACATTTTATTTCAATAATTGTTTTGTCTTTTTTATTTAACATGCAGTAGTATCTAATTCGTGTTTTTCTTTTCTACATTTCTGCACTTACATTTCTACAGGTTGTAAAGGCATATGATCGTGTAGAACAGGAGTGGGTAGCTATTAAAATTATAAAGAACAAGAAGGCTTTCCTAAATCAAGCCCAAATTGAAGTGCGACTTCTCGAGCTTATGAACAAACATGACACAGAAATGAAATATTATATAGGTATTTATCTTTTCAAGAGATAGCTTTTGACTATCTCAGAGTCTTCAACTTTCTAACGATCAACCATTATATTTTCATTGTCTTTTTGAGGTTATAATGTTATATTTCCTTTTAAAAAGCCTTCATTTAATCTTTGCAAATATGCACTTCTAGGCTATTTAAGGAGCATTGCGTAATAATTTTGATAATTTCTTAAACTTTCACTGGTTATGTATTCAATTTAGGTGTATTTTTGTACAAGTAGTTCTTAATTGCCTCAAAAAACCTTAGAGCCTTTTGGGTGACTATAGCTGTTTTATGCAGAAAGTTATCATTATTCATTAAGGCAGGGAAACACTCAGTGTAAGCAATTTTAAAACACTTTTATAATTCTGAAATTATTTTAAAAAGTAGCATTTGTTTCTGAACTAATGACAGTTCACAGCTCTGTAACTAAAGTTAATTTTATGTAATTCAGAATGGTTTAATTATCTGCTGGGCATTCTATTACAGAATCAGATGTCATGTTTAAGAGCGATTCTAAAGCAACACTAAACATTAATGAAATTTGCTTTTACATGCTTAGTTGATTCTAGACAACAAAATAAAGGCAAATATCTATGGAGATTCTCAGTCATCCAGGTCATAGTTATCCCAAAGATGATTTTTCACAAGGCAACTGGAAAGCAGCATAGTTCTTTAGTTGTTGCATTTAGTTCAATTAAATTTTAGTCTAATTTCAAATAGTTTAAGCAGCAAGTCTGTGTATTGATCAGAAAAGTCAGTAGAAACCTGAAGCCTCAAGCATAGGAAGTCTATAAATAGATGGATTATAATCTGTACTTTTTAGAAGAAGAAGTGCCATGGTTTTAATTTTAGCATCGTGTGAATTTCAGAGAAATAAATTACCTATAACTTTTTTTTTCAAAAAGGAAGTTTTTGTTTATGGATATAGAAAAGTAAAAGGACAGTTGTACTTTAAAAAAAAAAAGTTGGACAGACTTTTGGGGAGCCTTTGGAAACAATAGCTTCCTTAGGAAGATGTTTCAAGGTTTGAAGCTGTATACCTGTAATTTAACACACACACCCTTTTTTTTTTCTTTCAGTGCATTTGAAGCGTCACTTTATGTTCCGAAACCATCTCTGTTTAGTTTTTGAAATGCTCTCCTATAATCTTTATGACCTTCTGAGGAATACAAATTTCAGAGGGGTTTCACTGAATTTGACGCGAAAGTTTGCACAACAGATGTGTACTGCACTACTTTTTCTTGCAACTCCTGAACTTAGTATCATTCACTGTGATCTAAAACCTGAGAACATCTTGCTGTGTAACCCCAAACGAAGCGCTATCAAAATAGTTGATTTTGGCAGTTCTTGCCAGCTTGGACAGAGGGTAAATATTATCACTTCAAGATATTTCAGTGTTGCTTGTTGTTTTGTTTTGTTTTATTTTGTTTTAAATAAATCATCATACTCCAAAAATAATTTTATATGTTCCTAATTACTACATAAGAACAAAATAAGCAAAATGTTTTTAGCGATAAAGGGACCACCCATATTTCTGCATGTTTCCTAACTAAGCATTCAAAATGTAGAGTATATATCCATGTGGCTGCAGTCTCCATAACAGTAAATGATAATTCTGTTTGCAGCGTAGTGCACAATTAAGTTCTGTTGAATTCTTTACTAAATCATAGCCAGAATGCTAGTTTTGCATTTATAAAAAAAATCTATTTGCAGTGCGTAGTTTTGATGGCTCAAATAGCAGAGTAATTCTGTTTCAGAAAGCAGAAGGACAGAGTTTGTTTTTAAGGTTTCTTGAAGTTATACTTTTAAAGTTTGAGTCAAGGATTCCATAATTGAATTTTAAATCAGTAGACTAATCTGATAAGCTTTTTTTTAAAAAAAAAGCTCAAAGAGGTCAAACCACTTTCATATTGTCAAGAAAATACATAGATGTGGAATCCTAATTGCTCTCTGGGGTTGGTTGTTGGTTGCTTGCAGAAGTTTCACTACCCAACTAAGCAATATCGCCAGTGCTAGTGTGTGCAAGATTTGTTCCCTGTTTATGTGCAGTATTGTGCCCTGCCAATGTTGGTGCAAATGTGGTTTTTTTCCTTTGTAAATTCTTGATCAGAGTACAGTTTTTTATTTGATTGTTTGCCTGATATTAATCCCTGATTATTGCTGGAGAGGATGTGTTCTAGACTTGCTGTTTCCTACTGTACATAAACAGGAAGCAAATTCTGCACTCGCTTACATTGATGATATTATCTACTTGGGTATTAAAATGTCTAAACAGCTCTTTTATTGAAATATGCCCATGCATCACCAGAAGTTGAACTCTGCTTGAAGAAGGCTTATAATTCTACATATGTCAGGCACAAGCAATCAGATCCACGTGTGAAGGGTTGAATGTGACTGTTTTATTGCATCCTATCTATAATATAAGAATCTCACCAGAATGCTTGCCTCTCTTGGGAACAAACAGATAAGGTTTCAGGGAACGTGTTTGTGTGTGTGTGTGAGAGAGAGAGAGAGGGGGGGGGGAAGGGAGGGAGGGAGGGGCAGGTTATTCCCTGCTGGTTGATAATTTCCCAACATAAGAATCTTCCACAAATAAGGAAACAGAATTGCAGTCCATAAAATGAAGTATTTTTTAACATTTTCTGCTGTATAATTGCATATTTAACTTTAAACTTCTTTCTTAATTACCAAGTTTTGTAACATTTAAAGAATGTTTTTCTCATTTTGTATTTCAAATAAATTATGTGCAATATAGAATCATTACTTTCTAATTAGAATTTTTTGGGGATTATTTAATGTCTCTGTTTATAAAATACAGATATATCAATATATCCAGAGTCGTTTTTATCGATCACCTGAGGTGCTATTGGGAATGCCTTATGATCTTGCAATTGACATGTGGTCCCTTGGTTGTATCTTAGTGGAAATGCACACTGGAGAACCTCTTTTCAGTGGAGCAAATGAGGTTTGTTTACATTCATATGCATTTATATTATGTTGGGTTGGCAATTTTTTTTAGTTTTAAATATTTGGTTAAACTTCTAATTGATTTTCCTCATTTGAAACAGGTTGATCAGATGAATAAAATAGTGGAAGTTTTGGGTATACCACCTGCTCATATTCTTGACCAAGCACCAAAAGCAAAGAAATTTTTTGAGAAGTTGCCAGACGGCTCTTGGAGCTTAAAAAAGACCAAAGATGGGAAAAGGGTAAATAGATGTTTTGAATCTTTGATCTAGATTAATCTGTTTGTAACATAGATGAACATTGTTCCCTAGAGTCAGAATCAACTGGACAGAATCAACTTTTAGCTAATCTTGATTTAAGTGAAAACAGTTTCCCTACATAAGAGAAATTATTTTCTCTAATTTTAATTATTAGTACTTCCTACTATTAGGAAGTGTAATAGTAAAATAAATGGCAAGTGTACATCAGCTTTCAGTTCAAAAATATTTCACTTTATATACATTGTCAGAAATAAACTATGCAGTAATTGTTATAATTATTTAACTGTACAACTTTTATTAAAAAGAATAAAAGGAAAACTTAAAAAAAATAAAATAAAATGTTCTGGCATCCCAACCCCAACCTCTATTTTGGTTTAGAGTTTAAAGCACTGAATAACATAGGCACATACTGACACACATATACATACTTTTGGAAGTTGCGCTTAAGGTTTGTTCTGTGGCATATGTTTACTCACATACTATAAACTTTCTAAACTAGGAAAACCATAGGGAAATGATGTGGTAAGCCACCCAGAATTACTTTTTTGTTTGTTTTGTTTGTTTTTATATTCATTTATTATTAAATTTATTGGTCTCCCATCTTACCAGAGGGCAGGGGTAGGCAACCCAAAACACTCAAAGAGCCACTTGGACCCGTTTCCCACCAAAAACAAAACACCGGGAGCCGCAAAACCCTTTTGATATCTAAAATGAAGATAACATTGCATATATCCTTTTTTACCTTTATTATAGGTGTGTGTGTGTTTGTGTGTGTGTGTATGTATGTATGTGTATGTGTATATATTAAAAATAAAAGTAAAAATACAAGTAAAAATATGACATTAAAAATAAAAGTAAAAATATGACTTGGGAATATCCATACTATTAAAACAATGATCACCAGGAGAATGCTTTAAGAGAATAAAATTACATACACACAGAGGTAAAAAAAGGATATATGCAGTGTTATCTTCATTTTAGATGTCAAAAGGGTCTCTCTCTCTCTGTTTCTCTCCCTCCCTCTCTATCTGCCCTTGGTCTGCCACTCCTCTCCCCCCCCCTCTCTATTTCTCTTCCTCTCTTCCCCCCCCCCTCCTATCTGCTGCTCACCTGGCAAGCTTCAAGCTGTTGTCCAACAAGCTCAGGGGTAGGCAACCTCGTCTCTTTTATGACTCATGGACTTCAACTCCCAGAATTCCTGAGTCAGCCTAGCTGGGCTAGCTAGCTCTCTCCTGCCTTTCCTGCTTCCTGCAGAGACGCAGCAAAGGGAGGAGCTCCACCCAGTAAGCTTTTCAGCTCCTCGGAGAACACTGTGAGTGCACGCTCTTTTACACATACACACACACACACACACAAACACACACAGAGAGAGAGAGAAGCAGGGAAGCGCAATTGCCTCTCTCTGTCTCTGTCTCTCTCTGCAAAGGCAGAGGAGGCTGAGAGCCACAGGGGAAGGCTCAAAGAGCCGCAGGTTGCTGACCTGTGCCATAGGGTAACTCTCCAGCATATAAATTTAAAAATATTCATAGGGGAATAGTTTATAAGTATTGACATCTGATCTTAGGGTCTGTTATAATACATAAATATAACATTAATCTACTGTCATGGCATGTGGGAATGACCTTCAAAGGTGAGGGGAAAAATGATGTCTAAGGAAGATTGGACAAGAGAAGGAGACTTAACAGAGAAAGAAACTTAGGAAGGACATGCCCTAATTAGTCAGGTCAAAAGTGGCAGGAGATTTGTACTTTCAGATTTGCAAATTTGGTTTTCCACCCTCCCAAGTAAACCAGACAGGAAACACAACTAGATGAGCTAATTCTACTTTATTGTAAGTTTACATAACAAAATCTTGCAAGTCTGAAATTTCTCAGCCTTACTTTTAACAGCCTGACCAGTTGGGGGGGGGGGGAGGAAGACTCCTTCCTAAGTTTCTTTGACCATTAAGCCACTGGGGGTTCCTCCTTCTCTTGTCTGATCGTTTCTTAGGCAGCATCTCTTTCACTCGCCCCACAAGGTCTTTCCCACATATCATATTTACATATGGCAGTTCTTACATATTGTGGTATAAGGATATTTATCTTTGGTTTTCTTTTAAAGTAAATGAATATTGTTAATATTTTGAAAACCGTAAAGGTTTCAGAAGTGGTTTGCCATTATCATCTTCCTAGAGCTGAGAGAGTGACTGGCCCAAGGTTACCTAACTGGCTTTGTGTTTAAGGCAGGACTAGAATTCAGGGTCTCTCGGTTTCTAGACTGATGCCTTAATCTGAACACTAAATTGTCTCTGAAGACTTCAGGGACCCATCCAGGCAGTCACCAGGAGTCAAAAACAAAAACCAAAATATCCTAAATCAAGGGCAGGGGTTTCTTTTTTAAAAAAACAACAACTGGAAGTATTTATATTGTTAGCAAACTGATGTAAAATAATAAAAAATGCAATTATATTTTTTAAATGTGAAGAATTTCTAATTTTCCAACAGGAGTACAAACCACCTGGAACCCGTAAACTTCATAATATACTTGGAGTTGAAACAGGAGGACCAGGAGGGCGTCGTGCTGGGGAGTCGGGTCATATGGTAGCTGACTACTTGAAGTTTAAAGACCTCATCTTAAGGATGCTTGATTATGATCCAAAAACCCGAATTCAACCTTATTATGCTCTGCAGCATAGTTTCTTTAAGAAAACAGCAGATGAAGGTACAAACACAAGCAACAGTGTCTCTACAAGTCCTGCTATGGAGCAGTCGCAGTCTTCAGGAACCACTTCTAGCACATCTTCAAGTTCAGGTACACTTGTGATTCCTACATTTTGAGAATGAAGTCATTGGAAGAGTATTTACTATATAAATAAAAATGTTTTATATTATTTTAAATCTGGCTCCCTCTCCTTTTTAAAATTCTAGCTACCCTTTTTCCCTCAGTAATCTTATTTATTATGCTTCCAGTTGTCACATTAAAATTTCTGATTATATCATCTTCCACATATTTGTTTTACTTATGATTAAAGGTGGCTCTTCGGGGACAAGCAACAGTGGAAGAGCACGGTCAGATCCAACACACCAGCATCGACATAGTGGTGGACACTTCACTGCTGCTGTACAAGCTATGGATTGTGGAACGCACAGTCCTCAGGTAGTTTTGAAAGGAAGTCTCTGTTAACTAATTATTAGTATGCTTAAATAACCAAATACTTCTGCTCTGCAATCACACTACAGTAACACTCTTTTACCAATTCTGCAATTTAATAGTTTTATCATTCAGATAATTATTTGATAATCTGATTAAAACTGAAATAATTGCCAAAAAACTAATGTAGTTCCTTCTAAATCACATTGCTAAAATTGTTTGAACAGTTGACTTATGCATTGTTAAAGACATATTTGATAGTCAGATCTAATAACTTTTGTAATACTGCAGGAGGCAGATACTAATAAGTAATGATCATATTTCATTTTTTTTTAAATTTGTTAAATTTTTGGCAACACATAAATCAAGTTCTGTGTAGTACAAGTCTAACTCTGCTTTGTGTAGATTTTATAATATAAAATAATCCCTCCTTTGTGTGTGTGTGTGTTTGTATTGTTGTTATAGGTTCGACAGCAGTTTCCTCCTCCTCTTGGTTGGCCAGGAAGTGAAGCTCCTACACAAGTCACTGTTGAAACCCATCCAGTTCAAGAAACCTCTTTCCATGTTACTCCTCAGCAGCAAAATGCATTACACCATCATCATGGAAATAATTCCCACCACCACCATCACCACCACCATCATCACCACCACCATCATGGACAGCAGGCCTTGGGTAATCGGACCAGGCCAAGGGTCTACAATTCTCCAACAAACAGCTCGTCCACCCAAGATTCCATGGAGGTGGGCCATGGTCACCACTCCATGACATCCCTGTCTTCCTCAACAACTTCTTCCTCTACATCTTCCTCCTCAACTGGTAATCAAGGCAATCAGGCCTATCAGAACCGCCCCGTGGCTGCTAATGCGTTAGACTTTGGACAAAATGGAGCTATGGACGTCAATTTAACAGTCTATTCTAATCCACACCAAGAAACTGGCATAGCAGGACACCCAACGTACCAGTTTTCTGCTAACACAGGTCCTGCTCATTACATGACTGAAGGACATCTTACAATGAGACAGGGAATTGATAGGGAAGAATCTCCCATGACAGGAGTTTGTGTTCAGCAAAGTCCTGTGGCCAGCTCGTGACTAAACTGAAACAGATTTGTTTCTTGTGTGTTTTTATAGAAGTGGTGTTTTTCCAAAAAAAAGAAAGAAAAAAAAAGTGCAAAGCTGCTTGAATCAGGAGGAGATAGACTTATTGAACCGCTACAGAAGGGCAAAGCTAACTATTTTTTTAAACTTGAACAGATTGCAGTGAAGTTTTTAGAGCCATGTTCATACCTATCCTAGATAGCTTTGAGAAGATTTCTCACCTTTTTGCCCGTTTTAATTATTACAACCAAGTCACACATATATTTTCCCCCTTGTTCAACAGAATGAATATTCAAGAGTTGATCTTAGTTGCAAGCATATTTTAAGGCATGCCCAGAATCATATAAATGGGCATTTTGAGGTTTTTCTTTTTTTAATATTAAGGCGGGGGGGGGTGGGGAGTAATAATGAATTTCCATTCCCCAAACATACATGAACACAAAAAGCAGTACTGTAAGGAAGAGGGACCCTAAGATTACAAAACAGAATCTTTAGCTGTAAAAAGAATGGTTGTAATGGTGTTCATGAGACACATGAAGCATGCTAAGTGGCGGTGATTAAGACTCCTTATCTGAACCTACTGAGAATCAAAGCAGCAATTATATTGGGATTCTGTGTCTCATGTTTGAGGCTACAATCAGTTAGTATTGAAATAAGACTGGTCCTGTAAGTAAGGTGCACTGAGAAACAATCAACAGGTTGGTCTTGACCAGTCCAGGGGAAGTCTTAAGTGGTGGTCTTTGGGATAACCTTTGGCCTTATGGATTTGGACTCTTAAGTTAGAAGAGCCTACCATTTCAGATGCAATCACTTTTGGACATGCTTTTGCAGACAGTCCTTAATGCTGAAAACACAGAATGGGTAATTCAAGAGGCCTTTCTTTTAAAATAGACTTTGTGACCCACTTATTGTAAGGTATTGCAAGGTCACTTTGCGTGTGTCATAAAGCTGACTTCCTTATTGGTTGAAGGTCACAGGAGTAGTGGTTTGCTTTTGATGAAAATAACTACAACTGTGTTCCTCTCTGCTTTTCACTTTCTTTTTTCCTTTCCTCCTACGTCTTCTTCCTCTTTTTGCTTTTTCTGGGCACGTGGTTTCTCCACTGTTACTTCTGCACAAAGATGTCTTCTGTTCAACCTGAACATTTTTAAAAATGCAGAATTTTATGTGACTGCTTTTTTGCCTCACAATTATGCTGTGAATTTTACAAATTTTTTTTCTTTTTTGATAATTTATTGTACCAAAGCTGTTTTTATAGCACATAGATGTCTGTAACCAATAATGTAGCAGTTCTGCACTTTGACACAAGGTGTAACTAGACCATTTTTAAATGTCAGTTGAAAATTATGGCTGTACTATTGCTTAAACAAAACTGGAACTGTTGTTTATTCATAGCCAATACATTTACAACAGTCTGTGTATTGAACATGATAGATAGGACATCTAATTCAACACTATAACATCTGTTGCATTATAAATGTGTTCAAGCTTCTGAAAGTAAAAGGGACAGTAAAGCCAGAAGCTATGAAACCAGCAGTTAATTTGTGCATCCCTTATTAGCATAAATGTAAAACTGAAGGCAAGACCTTGATTACATGATCCCAAAACACTAAGATAAGTGAAGTTAAAAAAAAAAAAAAAGGCCCAAGTGAAACCTGAGGCTGAGTAGGCTGTATTTAGCAGGAGGTCTGCTGCCTTAATTTAACATAATCGGCAGTTGCTAAATTTCAGAACCCTTTTGAAGATTTTTGAAATTACGAATACAAACATTGTGAATAAAATAGAGAAATTAGGGTAATAAAGTGATTATCTTTCCAGATTAACACTGTTTTGCCCTTTACACGAACAGAAGCAGTAATCTACCTCTGCCAGTAAACTAGTTTAAAAGGCCATTCAACAAAATGCCGTGCACTTCAGACTGGTTAGTCCTTATAGCAAACTAGGTCAGTTCTTCTGAACTTTTTTTTCTTTCTTTTTATAATCATTCCTTATATTGGCAACAGAGAGGCTGAATACAGTGGGAGTGTGGAGGAATGCTTTAGAAATAAGGAGTTTTTGTAAAGCAACTTTTTTATCAAGGTATCCATATTTATTTTATATTGCGATATCAAGCCTGTGAATTGACATTTTTGAACTTCTGTAGTTCAAAAATGTTTGCTGAGCAAAAGGCTGTCATCACAACAATGGAGCATTATGCTTAGCAATACAAAATGGAATCCAATATGTACTGCTGTCTAGGAATATAAGGGTAACAAATATGGGTAATTTTTCTTGTGCTGGTTGCCATACCTTAATAAGCACCAAAAATACTGTTTTTAAATTTACATAAAGAAAAACCATAAACTCCAGTGCTTCTGCATACTGTGTTATGTTACAGTCCAGTTTTGTGTGCTTTACTACACAGTTTGGTTACAGGACTTCTGTGCATTGTAAACATAAACAGCATGGAAAAGGTTAAATACCTGTGTTCAGATTGTAAGATCTAGTCCGGACTTGCTGTGTATATTGTAACGTTAAATGAAAAGACAAGCCCTTTGTATTATAGTCATGCAGTCTTATGTATGATAAACAGTTGAATAATTTGTCCTCAGACTCTTTACTGTGCTTTAAAAAAATAACAAGATAAAATGTAAACATAGTAAAATCTTCCTATGCAATTAACCTACTTCAAGGCCTGGTCTGCTAGGTATGATTATAGTAACGTGTAAATATTAGAAACATTTGAGACAGATTTTAAGAGAATATGGAAGTAAAACTTGGAGGTGTAATATATTATTTTGAGTTTTTAATTCAAATAGCAAGACATTTTTTGAAATGCCCACACCTCTTCTCTGTTTTATTCTGACTGTAAAGCATAATTTTTAGGTTTTAATTGTATACATTTTTACATTAAGTACTTTTCATATATTTCTTTTATTTATATAGTGCCTAAACAAAAGTGATCTCACAGCTGTACAAACTGTAAAACAGTTCTGATACTGCCAACAAGCTTACAAACCAGCCACAGCACTACAGGAATGTACTTCCCCAAACTAAGTTAAAGTATTAAATTAGAAATACATTTTTGAAAAAAAGATACATTTAGAACCTCTTAATCCATTCATCATAATTTTCTTTGGTTTTTAAAATTGATTATCCTTTTTTCACTTGATACCTCATTATGAGGTAATGTGCAGGGATGTATTGTACTGCATCATTGTATTGTTTATGGCTGTGAGAAGCTGTTAAACCAAAAGTCAAAACATGCTTGTTCAGTCTCTTGTATGCAATGTTCAGAAAATGGGCCATGCACATTCTCAGTATTCCATATCTTAATCAGGAACAAAGGTTAAGAACAAAATTAGGCCCCATATAGGATCAAATTCTGTTCTTACCTGGAGCACTTGGCAAAGAAATCAACAGAGCTCTAGCTCCCTCAATTGCCTGCTATAGTATGTATGGATATTGCTGCAAGAAGCAAGTACATTCTTCATGAAACCCTTCTTGTTCTCTATGTAGTATGTGGGTAGCAAGAAAAGAAGGGTAGAACATAACTATGGTGAGGCTGTTTGTAGGCTTTCCGTGCAAATATACTTGCATGGGCTTATCTTTACAAAACAGGGTCTAAACTAATAAATAATGCAAAATTTATCACGAATAATTGGGTTTTAGCCTAATTTCTTCTAAAATGTTAAAAATGTGAAGTGGTTATCCTTTTTTAGGGTAAAAAGCTTTATACTAATGTTTTTATTTCAGTTACTCACTATGCCCAAATAACTTTTTAAAAGTAATATATGTTATGACAGGTTTTATTGCAAGTCTGCACAATACACTACTTTGTATGTCCAAATTTGTACACATAAAGGACCTATGAAACCCCGCAAAGATGGATCATAGCCAGTTGATGTATTACTGTTACAAGGTTATCGCCCAGTGTATAATTTTTGTCACATTCAGATGGGGGTAGTCACAGAAAATTGATGGAATTCAGTTTAACTTTTGTTCATTGTTTTAAATGTAAACAACAGATAGATAACATTCAGATAGGATTTGATCTGAAGTTGCACCTATTTCAACACAGGGAAGAAAAAAAAACACTTTGTAAAGGTCCTTCAGTAAGTTGAGGACAAAGACGAAACCGTAAGAACCAAACATTTGCAGAAGTGTAAATTCTACCATCTTTTCTGTTTCTATTAACAAAATTGTTTAAGGAAGGCTTATTAGTTATTTCTTACCCCAATCAAGACTCTGGTAATGAAATTAAATGCTGTGCTTGCAGCATAATCTGACTCCTTGAAGACTCCGTACCTGGTTTAAATCTTGAAATTTAAGAATGGCTGAGTTCACATGATAACGATTGAAAATGCAACATTTGTTTTTCTTTTTTTTATTCAAGCTTGATTTGAACCCTTGGGTTATGCATCTGCACAGAAGCCTGTTCTGAATCTGCTAAAGTTTATAATATTTTTGGGGACTAGGCTTTGCTACTACTGAGCTTCCAGTCTGGTTTTAGCCTGTACAGTGTTAATACTTTGACCTAAAGTGGAATATTCTTTCTGATTTTCTTTGGGTTTTTTCTTCCTTCCAGTTATTTGAAACTGCTTTAAATTGTTAGGACACCTTATTTACACAGGTGAAACACTCCCTTCTGATGGGCACAAATGTTTTTTTAGCTTGATGAAGGTCATGATAATTTATAAGTACTGTCAGGCTAAAAAGCAGATACATCATAATTGTTCTCATTTGAAAGTTGCACTGGGAATAAGCTTTCCAGGGAAGGGTGGGGTGATATAAATTCCAATCCAAACTTTTATCTACACTAGCTGAGAATTCAAAGATTCCCTGGAATTCCAGACAAGACCAGAAGGTCTGGTTTCAACTAGCCTTGAGAAGTTATGGTCTTCTCCAGTTCCACAACTATTACTTCCACCTTTATTGGATTCCTCAATTTGTGTGATCCTGATTATCCAACCTTGCTGATTCATCTTCAGGCAAGGAAATCCATCTTGGAAAGAACGATTTCACCAAATCACGCTTGAGTGCGGACGACCCTATCTGGAATTGTCAGAACTGAAATCTTCCCATTCCACTGACATTATAGTTGACTGCACTATGCTTACTCTGTTTCTACAGATCGTCTCCAATGTGTCTCTGTTCTGCTTGGTCTTTTCACCATTAAGCTTTTTGTCAATGCATCTATAATTCCTGGGAAACTCAAGATATGAGACAGACCATCATATGGATAGGTCTCCATATTCTCAAACCTAATCATACTTTAGACCAGAGCCCCCCAACCTTTTGGGCACCAGAGACCCGTTCTGTGGAGAAAGATTTTTCTGCGGACCAGATGGGGCTTCACTTGTTTGCACGGCCCGGTTGCTGTTATGCCGTGGCCCAGTGCCGGTCCATGGACCAGGGTTGGGGACCCCTGCTTTAGATCAAGGGTCTCCAAACTTTTCAGTCTGAGGGCCACATTGGACATTTTACAAACATTTAAGGGATGGGGCAAAGGTCAGTTTTATAAATGAGCGAATAAAATTTAATTGAATGAATTGTTTCATTTTGCTCAATGTGGTAAGATTCACAACAACAGCAAAAAAGAAATGTGGCAACTACAAAGAATAATGCTATGCTTGTACGAACAAATGATATAAGAAGAATTAGCAAATGCTCCGAAGAAATAATTGATTGCTGCAGATGAGAAAAGGCTATTTTTTTCAATAAATTTTTGTCAGTTTTTACAAATCTATATTAAATGAGAATCTGCCCAATTTTGTGGTGCAGAATACAAATAATACACATACCCCAAAAAGAAAACCAGTAAAATGAAGAAGTTCTGACAATTGCAAGTTTAATTCATATGAAGCACAGAATTAATGTGAATGAAGGAGCTGATTTTTTTTAAGTTTCAAAATAAGTGAAAAGCAGTTAGTGCCATCAATTCTTATATCTGGGGTGTAAAACGTAAAAACAACTTTCCTGGTCTTCCAGGTTATTTTCTTCCAAGGTCTTCAAGGCAGATCACATACCTGGGATCCAGCTCAGCATACCTTCTTGACCAAAGATCACCAATTTCTCAACATTTCAGCATAAATATGACATAAAACATCCGTTTTCCACACGAGTAAAGGAGTCTAAGTATTATCATTGTTCATTTATTCATTGAGGTAAATGATCCAAAGCCACATATCAAAGTACGAGAGCCTTTCCTTTCAGTAATTGGGGTGCTTCCTTTGGACAGCAATAACTGCAACTTCATTTTTAAAAAGAAAATATATTAACATTTTTAATAAACACAGTAAAAAATAATGTAAACCAAACTACAAGAAAATAGGAAAAAAGCTAAAAAAATGGAAAAGAAATAAAAATAATACAGTAAATAAAAAATGTATAAAGAACTTGGCCCCTTCATAATAACAAATATGAACAATTACAAATATCCTAGAACTCTTCATTTTTCTTTATATCTTCTTACAAATTTTTATTACAGCTTTTAACAAATCTCTTGTAAATTCAATATGGGAAAGTTATCCAGGTCACTCAACAGGAAAAAGAATATCCTAATCCTGCTATATGGGGCTTTAGTCAGACCCTATTTGGAATACTGTGTCCAGTTCTAGAGACCTCACTTAGAAAGATATTGATAAGTTTGAGAAAATTCAGAGATGGGCAACAAAAATGGTGCAAAGCCTGAGGGACAAAACATATCAGGAGAGATTGGAGGAACTGACTATGTACAGCCTGGAGGACAGAAGGAAAAGAGGGGACATGATGGAAACCCTTAAATATATTAAGGGTATTTTCAATATTAAGCAAAAATCAAGAACTTCAAACTGAAAGGGGGGGAAGTTCAAAAGTAATGTTAGAAAATATTACTTCACAGAGAGAGTACTAGGTTGAACATGATAGAGTCTGTCAGCAACTAACCAGGAAAAAAATAGTTTTAGAATCATTCTATAATCTACTAAAGACATTGACCCAAGTTTCAGCAGCTGTGAAAAAGATAAAATCCTTGCTATGAATCATTAGGAAAAAGACTGAAACTAAAGCTGCCAACATTGCTATGCTTTAGTAGAAAAACGGAGAGTCTTCCGCTTGGAATAAAAGGTGATTAAAAGAGATTATCAATTGGTAGAAAACTACACATGACATGAAGAAAGTATGCATAGAGATTGTTTTTCTTCCTTTTTTTATATTCTAGTTTCAAGCTCACCCAATGAAATTGGAAGAAATTTTAGAACCTTTCCACATGTGCAGAATTAACCTGTGAAATGTATTACAGTAAGATGCAGTCAGGTTCCTAACATGGATGGCTTTAAAAAAAATGAATACATTTGTAGAGACAGGTCTATTACTATGGAAAGTTGGGGCTGGTATGCTGTCAAAGTAGGAGAGCAATGAATTCTCATCTTCAGCTTGCAAGAAAATCAAAGGCATGGTTGACCACTGTGAGGAATAAATGCTAGACTCAGATGATTCTTGATTTGATGTGAGAGCTATTTGATATGTTCTGAATACTGCAACTGTACGTCTTTGATGAGGATACATGATGCAATTTCATATTTTATAAAAATACATTTTGATCAAATCCCATTTTAAAACTATGCATTAAAGCTGGAATTGTATTTACTGAATATTCCTATTACAATAATTTTCATGCCAACTATTTAACATAAAATTAATCCACATGTAAGATAAGATAACCTTTATTGTCATTTTTATACTGTGGGCACAATGGCACACATCAAAAATGAAATTTAGTTGCCCGCTCTCAAAGTGAAACACATACATGACACACACCTAAACATACTATGTACAACAGGTGTATAGACCCACATCCCTACATATACATAACAAATATTAAATACTGTCATCTTGAATATATAACGGAAGGAGGAAGCTTGAGAGTTCGCAAGGCTAAGGCTGTATGGAATGAAACTCTGGCTGAATCGGGAAGCCTCCTCCTTCCTAAACAATTAATTTGATAGTTCCTGAAATGAAATGCTTATGTGTTTTCATTCTAAAAATTCCAGGTTGATTCATTAACTGCTATGTTTCCTCCTGAAATGTTAGATTTTTTTTAAAAAAAATGGTTAACATATCTAGAAGTTCTCTCCTTCCGATTATGCAGAAGAAAAGGTGAAGCATTTGAAGAAAAGAGCACCTTTATTAAGAATGGGGATGGTATGAGTTTCGATGGCAGCTAGTTATACAGAAAATGTTGTAGGAAAGGAAGAATTGATTTAATGGAATGTCAACATATCCTGACAGCTAATGTTTCACCATCAAGAAAAAAATTAAAACTGAAAAGAGGCTCAATACTTCAGGAAGACAACAGTCCAAAGCATACTTCCAAATCACCTCTAGTGCTTACAGGAAAGAACAATATTGGAATGTTCTTTGTACCATATACAGATTATGCCACCTATTCCACTTAAGGATTCATGGAAATATACAATATGAACAGGATTGTATAATCTGTTACTTACTACTCTATATAGCTATATAGTATAGTATATAATAATTGCATTTAATTACTATTTCCTTGATTGATCTACAAACAGTTTTAAATGTCACACATTATTAAAGAACCTGTGTTCCCATTCTTCTTTACCATTGATGATGGGGTCTGATCTGAAATGTCAGATAATCTGTTTT